TCTCCAAAGACTTGAATTGTTGGGGACGTTAACACACCACTTTCCCCACTAGATAGATGAACTCAGAAAAACTCAACAGAGAAAATGGAGATCTAAAAAACTGCATAGATCTGGGCTGGGATGTAGCTCAGTGGCAAAGCTCTTGCCTAGCAAGTGCAACGTCCTGGGTTTGATCCCCAGTACCAAAAAAAAAAAAAAAAAAAAAAAGAAAAGACACACACACACAAAAAAAACTGCATAGATCAACTAGATTTAACAGACATCTATGGAATCAGAATATACGTTTTTCTCAGGAGCACAAGGAATATTTTCCAAAATAGACCACACTTTAGGCCACAAAGCAAACTTGTCCAAATTCAGAAACATTGAAGTTATACCTTGCGTTCTCTCACACCACAAGGGAATAAAATTAGAACTCAACACCAAAAGCCACCAAAGAAAATCCTGTAACACATGGAGGCTGAACAACACACTGCTGATTCACGAGTGGGTCATGGAAGAGATGAGAAAGGAAATTCAAATGTTCATGATATTCAACAACAATGAACATGCAAATTACCAGCTTCTCTGGGTCACAGCAAAGGCAATACTCAGGGGCAAGTTTATAGCTCTGAGTTCCTACATCAACAAATTGGAGAGATCTGAAACCAACAATTTAATGAGACATCTGAGCTTTCTTGAAAAAGAGGAACAAGATAAACCCCAATCCAGTAGATGGAAAGAAATAATTAAAATTAAATCAGAATTAAATGAATTAGAATCCAAAAAATATAGAAAGAATCAACAAACCAAAGAGTTGATTCTTCAAAAAAATTAATAAAATTGACAGACCCTTAGCAAATCTTATCAGAAAAAGAAGAGAACGCACCCAAATAAATAAATGCAGAGATAAGAAACAACCAAGATACAGAACATTATAAGGGAATACTTCTCAAAATTTTATGCTAATAAGTTTGAAAACTTGGCAGAAATGGGACTTTTCCTAGCAAATACTGACATGCCAAAAATGAACCAAGATGAGTTAAACCATTTTAACAGGCCCATATCAAGGATTGACATAGAAACAGCAATAAGAGACTTCCCATCTAAGAAAAGCCCAGGACCAGATGGTTTTTTAGTGGAATTCTACAAGGCCTTCAAAACAGAGCCGACACCAATATTTCTCCAACTCTTAAATAAAATTGAAAGAGAAAGTTCACTACTGAACTCATTCTATGAAGCTATGATAACCCTCATCCAAAAACCAGGCAGGGACTCATTAAAGAGAGAGGACTGTAGACCCATTACTTTGATGAACATTGATGCAAAACTCAACAAAATTTTGGCCAGTCGTCTTAAACAACGCATCCAGAAAATCATACACCACGGTCAAACAGGATTCATTTCAGGGATGCAAAGCTGGGTCAATATTCGCAAATCAATTAATATAATTCATCACATAAGCAAGAGCAAGGATAAGAACCACATGATTATCTCAATATATGCAAAAAAAAGCATTTGAAAAGATCCAACACCCCTTTATGATGAAGGTTCTGGAAAAATTAGGAATCCATGGAACATTCCTCAATACAATAATGGCTATATATGACAAACCTACAGCCAGCATTATACTTAATGGTGAAAAACTAAAGTCATTTCCTCTTAACTCAGGAACAATACAAGGATGTCCACTATCACCACTTCTCTTCAATCTAGTATTAGAATTCTTATCTACAGCAATAAGACAAGATGCAAACATAAAGGTGATCCAAATAGGGAAAAAAGAAATAAAACTCTTCCTCTTTGCAGATGACATGATCTTGTATTTAAAGAATCCCATAGACACCACTCCCAAATTACTCAAGTTGATTTAAAACTTTGGCAAAGTAGCAGGGTATAAAATTAACCCCCCAAAATCAATGGTTTTTCTGTATGCCAACAATGAGTAAAGTGTTGCTGAAATTAGGAAAGCAACTCCATTTGTAATAGCCCCACAAAAAAATAAAATACCTAGGAATTAACTTAACCAAAGAAGTGAAGGACCTCAATGATGAAAACGTTAAAAACGAAAAAGGAAATCAAAACAGAACTTAGAAGTGGCAAAAACTCCCATGCTCCTGGATTGGAAAGATCAACATCGTGAAAATGGCAATACTTCCCAAGGCTATCTACAAATTCAATGCAACACCTGTCGAAATTCCCACCTCATTCTTCAAAGAAATAGAAGAAGCAATCCAAAAAGTCATATGGAACAATAAAAGAACCCGAATAGCTAAAACTATCCTCAATAGAAAGAACAGTGCTGGAGGAATATCAATACCAAATTTCAAACTCGACTATAAAACCATAGTAATCAAAACAGCTTGCTACTGGCACAAGAACAGACCTCAGAAGCAATGAAATAGAATTGGAAACCCAGAAATGAACCTACATACCTATAGCCATTTAATCTTCAATAAAGGGGCTAAAAAAATAGAATGGAAGAAAGACAGCCTCTTCAGTAAATGGTGCTGGCTTGGTTAACTACTTGTAGAAAACTAAAGCTAGATGCTTATATATCACGCTGCATGAGAATCAACTCCAAATGGATCAAAGACATCAGAGTCAAAGCAGACACTGAAAACATTACAGGATGGAATAGGAGAAACCCTTTGTCTCCTTGGCACAGGCTGAAATTTTCTTAATAGAGACCCAGAAAGACAACAAATTAAAGAAAGGTTGGACAAAATGGGATTACATGAAATTGTAGAGCTTCTGCATGGCAAAGGACATAGCTTGCAAGATCAATAGAAAGCCCACGGATTGGGGGAAGATCTTCACTAGCCATACAACAACGGACAAGGGTCTCATATTTAAAACATACCTGGAACTCAAAAAATTAAATCCCCCAACAACAAATCTTCAAAGAAACAATTGCCCAATAAATAAGTGGGCTAAATACTTAAAGAGAAACTTCTCTGAAGAGGAATGAAAAAGGGCCAATACATACTTTAAGAAATGCTCAAACTCCCTAGCCATAAAAGAAATGCAAATCAAAACAACATTGAGATACCACCTCGTCCCAGGTAGAATGGCTATAATCAAAACTCTAATAACAACAGATGCTGGAGGAGATGTGGACAGAAGTAAACCCTACTGCACTGTTGGTGGGAGTGTAAACTTGTTCAACCTCTTTGCAAAGGAGTATGGAAGTTCCTCAAAAGACTCCACATAGAGCTCACCTATGACCCAGCAATCCAACTTTTGGGCATTTACACAAATGTTCACAAACAAGACCACACTAAAGTACCAGCACGATATGTTTATTGCAGCATTATTTACCATAGCTAAGATATGGAATCAACCCTGATGCCCCTCAGTAGATGAATGGATCAAGAAAATGCGACACACACACACACACACACACACACACAATGGAATTCTTTGCGTCCATCATAAAGAATGACATTGCCCCATTTGTTAGTACATGGAAAGACTTGGAAAAAATTATATTAAGTGAAGTAAGCCAGGCCCAAAGAAATATAGGTCCCATGGTTTTCCTTATTTCCAATAAATAGTATATGTCTGAATCAAGCAGAAAAGCTCAGATAAATTTATGTTAGGGAAATGAACCCTAAATATGTACTCAAATGCTGTTTTCTTTCATGCGATTGTTTCTAACACATTTATAAGATGATATCTTTGTTGCTTTGTATGTCCCTCCCCCATTGTATAACCCCTGCTTTCACTGTATTTGATGTTAGTATAATTTGTGGAGGGTAAGGGAAAAAACGAATCGTTTAAATAGAGATACAGGTGGAAATATTGCAACAATGAGATGTACAAGTCGTTATGTCGAAAACGAACTTTACAACTTTGGTTGTAAAGTTTGTGGGGGGTGATTGGAGGCTTGAATGGGGGGATAGGGGAAGGATGGAATGGGAAGGGGAAACAAAGGAGGATGCTACAATGCTTGATAAGAAATATACTCATTATCTTGCCCATGTAATTGTAACCCCTTTGTACAGTATTTTCACAATAAAAACAAATAATAATCTAGAAAAAAAATAATTACAATCACCATTACTATGCCAAGAAGCTAGGCTTAACACCTTTATAACTTTTAAAAACATCCTAATTGTAGAACATCATTGAAAGCAAGTTACATTATACAAATAAACTTTTTAACCCTCTTTTGAAGGCCATTTTAATTTTAATTTTAACACATACAAGGGGCAGTTTTAGCAATACTAATCAGATCATCACATCACTCATTTTAACCATCATGTTTTCAGGGTCTATCTGCAGGGAAAAGGGACAGAACAAAGATGGGCAACTCAGCCCCTCCTATGGAATGTGCCTGCACCCAATCTGACTCTTTAAGGTTAGATGAACTGCGTTTGTGCCAGCTTGCCCTCTTTTACCATGTGTGGACTCCTCCCAGGGCCAGTCCCACCATCTATGAAGCACCCCACCCCTGGGTCGGTCCCACCATGCATGACCAGCTTAACTACACTTCTGCCTATTCAGCCTCACCCCTAAATATAGATCTTAGGTAGTCTTCTAAATTTTCCCTTTTTTGGGGGGCAGGGAGGTTTGAATAAAATACAGTTTTAGACAGACAGAACATGTCATGTTTTGTAACAGTGCTAAATTGACCTTTCCATTTACATTTTTAATATTTATCCTGAAATTTTAGCCAAGGGAACTAAATCCCAAACTGCCAAAGCATTTAAAAATATTAAAATTTAAAATAACAGATTTTCTAATTTTTACCTTAAAGAATCCTTAAAAAGCCATTTAAAACAATGTGAAAGTTTTTTAAATTTTTAGTAATGTCTAAACCTCTTAACCTTTTACATTTTAAACTTAAATTCACCCAATTTTTACAGCATGTTGACAATTTTTATCTTGAACATGTTTACAAACACATAGAAAACACACAGATCTTAAAGCGTGCATAAATCAAAATCAGTTTTACATAGATTTTTTCAAAGTTTTTTTAACAAAAATTTAAGACAGTATTTTTTTTAACTAAGTACCTTTGTTAAGCTTCATTTTCCCAGGGCTCGCTTGTTTAGCAAGGCAATTCATCAACGGATCTTTTGAATCCCACCTGTTGGAGAAGGGCTGGTTGAAGGGGTCACCTAAAACTAAACTGGCCTGAATTTTATCCAATTTTAGACAAGAGCACTTTACAAATTGTTACATTGTCAGGACTCGCTGAAAAATCCAAACCAGGTACATAGCCTTCCACACTCTCTGCTCAGGCAGCCTCCACAAGGAGAAAATTCAGCCCAAGACCTGAAAGGAACCAGACTAGTCCAGCAACCTTACATACCTCACAGTGACGCGAGCCTAGCAGGTCTGTGGCTGAGCCCAGCCAGAGGCTAGAACTTTTATTTCCTCAGAGATGTTCAAATAAATAACAAAAATATAAATAAACACAAAAACCAAGAATCCACACTTAAAACAGGTACCAATTCTAAAACAGAACTAGACAACAGCCAAAAGCAGAGTTGGGGACTAATGGGCCCTCAGTTCATTCCTACTAGAACTGCGCCATTCTCAATCAGCAAGCTGAATTCAGAAACTGCTGAGTGAGCTGGCCACCCTCACCCAGAATTTCCCCACCTCAAAAATAGAACAGAAACGACACCAAAGTAAACAAGACAGACAAGTGGCCACAAAGACAAAATCAGATCTCCATGAATTGGGCAACATTTTACCACCAGAGGATTTCTTTTTTTCTTTTTTTTTTTTTAGATTCCTGCAAATGTTGATCCAGAGGCCTTCCAAGGTGGAGGAGAATTCTCAGTCATCTTGGGGCAAGGGAAAAAAGACCCTGGAAGCCATCCCCTCAGACTGACAGTCTCCCCCCCATACTCACACCCTCTGGGCCAAGGCCCGAGGCTAAGATCTTGCTGGTGGCACTTGGTGGTCAGTGGCAGATTCATCTGGCTTAGAGTTTTCCCTGCAGGCCCCTTTCAAAGTTATTGCTAGATCCTGCAGGTTCTCCCTTCCCCCACTGCCTCCTCTTCTAGAGAATAAGTCAACCTTTGATGTCATCCTAAAATTCCAAAATATTAAAACGGGAGAGCGGCTGAGGTGAAAGGAACGTCTGGCCACCCCATTCGGGGGGCTCCAGGATGCCCGCTGATCCGAAAATGAAAGTTAAATGAACAAGGAAAGGAAAGAAAGAGAGGCGCTGAATTAAAATGGCAACTACAAATGAGACAAAGAGAGCATGCATGTTGATCTCGAGCTCGAATCCACCCCTAAGCCACGGTTGTGGAGGCCAGACGAGTTCCTGTCCCATAGGATGGCGGAGGCCGATGAGTCCCTACCCGGGAGGTGGATAATCTACCCTTAACCCAGAGTAGCAGAGGCCGGACAAGTCATGGTCCAAAAGACGACAGAGTGAAGCGAGACTCCACTGGGGAAGGCTTCCCCAAGGTCCCAGGGAATTTCTTCAACTCGCCTGCTGGCTACCTTGTAGCACATCTACCAACGTTTCTTGCCAGCTCTAAAACCCTACTTGCAAATCAAACACATAACACGCAACATAAAGCAGCTGCACCCCCTCTTACCGGCTAGCTGCACGACTCGCTGATCAGGTATCTGGCTTATGGGGGGGGCTATCCCGGACAAGCTCCCACATAAAGTGCTCAGATTTCAGACGCCCCCTCTCAGACCACCAGAGACCATGATCAATGCAAACAGCAAAGAGTCATTTATTGCAAGCTGGAGCTTGGTCCTATGTGTACTTGGTAACTGGTGATGCTAAGAGGCCCCAAGCATAAAATTGACACAGCTTTTATAGTATCAAACAAACAAGTTTAGGGGGTTTCCACACAAGCAAGTTCACAAGTTCAGGGGGTTTATGTCCACCCTGATCACACTTCCCTTTTTCAGCTGGAACACCTGGGCAACTGTTCTGTTCTTTAAAGGTGGGCAGGGTTGGTGGCCACCTGCGGTTTTTTGAGAACTATTTTTCTCTTTGGCAGCACAGCTCTCTTTGGGGGTTACTTTGAGGGCAGCACAGCTCATGGGGCTTGATCTTAAAATGGAATTACTTTAGCTCTTCAGTTAGGTCCTGAGTTCAAACACCAGGAATGGTGTATGCACACACACACACACACACACACACACACACACACACACACACACACACACACCACATGGAGGCACCTTTGCCAATAATATATCATTCCATTATGTTCAGCTCCCTAATTGTCTGCCAGAAGGACTCTTGAATTAATTGTAGCAGTTTGTTTCAACATGGAAATATAGTCTTACAAAGACAGCATGAGTGCAGGGAACTTGGCCTGCCACAGAAGGTGGCACAAATGAAGGTTTCCTATCAAAACAGACCACTGGGGAGAGTGATAGCTTGGGGGTACAAACAGGCCTTTTTCTCCTGACCTTCAGAACCTGCGCACATTCATCCTCATTAATTTGCCCGGATGAATTGTTTGTTATGCAGCTTTACAGAAGTGAAACTTTTTGTCTGCCTGTTCCAACAATGAAGCCGACTTCCTCCGGCAGCCTGGGGTATGGAGACCCCTTAGGCTACACTGGGAACACTGAGGGAGCCCCGAAACATGGATTGTCTTGAAAGCACTCTGTGCTATGAAATCATTCTATTCAAAGCAAATTTCCTAGCTGGGTGCCGTTCTTCATAGCAACTCTGGATCTTCACTGACACAAATGCATGCATACATACACAGACACATGGAGTTACTGGCTCTTTTTTTTGTGGCAGGTCCTGGGCTTGAACTGTGAGCCTAGACATTTTCCCTGAGCTCCTTTTGCTCAAGGAAACATTTTATTGTATCTTAAACCATGATTACCCTAGGCTGTGGTGCAACTATTACACCCACAGATGATCCAGGGATCCTAGGACCAGAGTTCAACTCCCAGCACTGGCAAAAATACATTAAACCAACAAAAATGGAGGAGGAAAAACCAGGAAATGTTACACAACAGTTTTTACTTTTGTTTCCTTAGCACTGTGACCCTCCTGAGTCTCAATGACTTGGCTTGAAAATTGTATGTGACCTTGCATGGATGATGGCTGAGGGGCTGTCAGTGAAGCCTGAGCCAAACCAGACACCTAGGCCCTGAGATCGATCCTAGGACTGCCACCTACACACAGCTGAAGATCCTAGGAAACTCATTCCTATCTATAGGAACATTAATAGAATATTTGAAATTTATTAATTGAATTACTAACTAGCTAGTCATTCCAGTATAAGATTGTATGCAATAAATATAGGTCATTGATTAATTAATACTTTGTTAATTCTTCTACCATGATAATTGGAAGGATAATTTTATACCAAATAATTGGTAGTAATAGAATATATAAAAATAAGGTACAGACAACACTCTTTATATTGGGTTATACACTAGATTCTACATAAATGTCTATCTGTCTCTCTCTGTATATATTTATAGATGCATATACATATGTAAATACACACACACATGCACGCACACACACAAACAAACACACACACACTGCAATCTAAATATCTACCTGTTTATATGTTGGCCATTCCTAGGGCTTGATCTCAGGTCCTCAAATTGGCCTGCCAACTTCACTTGCATCAGACTGGTGTGCTAACATTTAACCATTCATGAAGTGGGCCTGCTAGGCCCTGATTTCAAGTCAGAGAATTGCCAAAAACTTAATCCTGTTCGAAAAGCCAATTGTTCCACTTGTTTTCTGTATCGATGAAAGTCCTGGGTCTCAGGAATGATGTAGAATACATAGGCAAAGCTTTGTCTTATGTAATAGGATGCAAAATGTTATATGTGTAATCATGCTCACTCTCAAATACATAAGAAATAAAACACAAAATAAAATGAATACACTAACTGCAATATGCAATAAACATGTGTATGTAAATATGAATCATGTATTTCAAATATATACGAATATTATTTTTTCAAGTGCTAGGATTTGAATTCAGGCCCTGGGAACAGGCCTGACTTTCTTGTCTTCCAGCCCGGTGATCTTTCCATCCCCCACAGTGCTACAGATTTACCCACATCCTGAGTTCAAATCCCAGGCCTGGCAAAAACAATGGCCTGAATTCCAGGCCAAGGAGCCTCATAATATTTTAAATATTAAAATATTTTAAATATGTATGTATGCATGTATTTTTATTTTCTCAAGCACAGGGCTTGATCTCAGGTAGTGGCAATTTTGCCTCAGCATTGATCACTCTAGGCTGGGGTGCAACCACTGGACCCAAAGCCAAACCTGGGTTCCTGGGCCTCAAATGCTGACAGGAAAACAATAAGAAATAATGCGACGCAGAAAAATAAAAACTGTCAACTTACCAGTTTTACAATTTTTTTCTTTGCAAAGTGACAGTTCTGGGACTGAATGACACGGCTGCAAAATGTTGGTAACCTGGCATTGCTGAAAGCTGGTGGGCCACCAGGGGAGCCTTAGGCCAACACAGCAACATAGGCCATGTGTTTGAAGCACAGTCCTGACCCCTACCAATGGAGGGAGATACTAAGAGTCTCGTTCCTATTCATAGGATTACCGATGGAAGATTATGAATGGCAAAGTTGAATTAGTTGTTTCTGAATACTACTATACAATTAGATGGAGTGATTTTAGGTGACCAATGGATTTTAATGAATATTTTTGACACATTCAAAGAATAGTATTAATTACATGGATGCAATAGTTTTGGGACAGTTGTTGCTTTATTAATAATTCATTAAGGATGAAAACAAGAATTCTAATTACATGGAGGCATAATAAATACCCAAGAATTGGTAGGAATGCAGTCTATATACAGGAATAATGTATAGACATCACTGGCACTCTATAAAGATCTATATTTACTTGTGTACTACCATCTGCATGTCAATCTGTTCTTATTTTGTCAACCCCTGGGGCTCAATCTCAGGTGCTAGAAATGCTTGTTAGCTCAATATGCCCCAGGCTGGCGTGCTGACACTCACCCATTCATGAATTGGGACTTATAGGCTTTGAGTTCTAATGCCAGCACTCACAAAAATTGAATCGTGGAGTAAGAATCCCATGGTGACACATGTTTTCTGATTCTTTGAAAGTCCTGGGTGTAAGGTATGAAGTTACATACATAGGCAAATCTATATCTTATGTAATATATGGAGTAAATATTTCATGTGTAATAACAGTCAATAAAATAAATAGTAAATAAATTAATAAAAAATAAAACGAATAACTACACTAAGTGCAATATGTGGTCAACATATGGGGCTCGATCTCAGGGCCTGGGAACTGCCTGGCCGGTGAATTGGCTAGAGGCTTCTGTGCTGACAGT